GAAGATGTAGTATTTTCTGTGGAAGATTTTTACTTTATTTAAATATTTTATCCTAATGTCAGCAATTATAGTAGATTTTATTAGGCTACTGTTATCAGGTGAAAACGTCTTATCAATTGTGAAACATTTCTTTCTTAGTTTCTGTAAAAGTCCTGATGCAATAAAAGTTTACATCATAATCTCAACAAATTCGAAGAAACAAACAAAAATAACTTTAAAATTTGAACTTATTCTCCGGTGATCTGAAATACACTGAAATCAGGTGAAAACGTCTTATTAATTGTGAAACATTTCTTTCTTAGTTTCTGTAAAAGTCCTAATGTAATAAAATTTTACATCATAATCTCAACAAATTCGAAGAAACAAACAAAATAACTTTAAAATTTGAATGCTTAGAAACTGTGATCGATTATGTAGAATGGTATCGTTATTAATTTGTTTTTACTAACTATATAAATTTTATCTTAATATCTAATGCATGATGTGTATACAAGTATTGTCATATCTCCGATGGATCAACAGTAAATCTATATAATTATAAAGGTAAAATCTGGGGTCCGATTTATTGCAGACAGCCCATTGTGTAGCTGTATGTCAAAATAAACAAACAAGTGAAAAAGGTATTGATGGAGAAAAATAACGTAATATTCGCACAAACTATCCTGTAATCGGTGTGTGTCACTATTTATCAAAAAGATACAATTCAAATAAACAAAAACATCTGGGTTTGTTTTTTAACTCACAGTTTTCCTTGAAATAAACTGCGTTACGCATGATTATGTTATCTGAAAACGAGCCGTAAACTTATACAGTGAAGCAAGCTTTGTATATTTCTAGGAGACACAGGTTGACTCTGTGGTAGAACCCCGGATTTCGGTTTTGTTAGCTTGCCTGTTGTACCTACCACGGGTATCGAAACCCAATATTTATCATCAGAAGCACTCTGAGCCACTGGGAACCTTGATTTCGGAGCTGGTGAGCCGGTTTCGAATCTGTGTGATACCACAATATATTAATTGCACTTTAAGCCGTGGGAGCGTTCTGAAGATAGCAGTCAATCCCTTAAGGTGGACGGTAAGTGGTAGGGTGCTGCAGACTGGCTGTTTTCACTTTCGTTAGTAGCTCAAAATTAGAGACGGTGGCGGATAGCCTAAGTATCTTTGCCATAAATACAAAGTGCAAACTCATTTATAGAGAGCCTCATTGTTTGTAGAGATCTTGCCAGAACTTACAGTCGATTTAAACGAACCTAATTTGTTTACAGATGCATTGTGAGACTGTGTCATTATGCATTTATGCTGGTATAAGTTACGGAATTAAAAGGGGGCACCAATCCTCCATTTGAAGATAAATCTGATGGAAGAAATTTTCATTTTTGAAATAAATTTGATTATAACATTGTTAAAATAAGATAAATTAAGTTAAAAATGAGATAACAGATATAGCTTTTTTCATTAACTTTTTTCGGTAAGTTTAATTCTAATGTTTGATAGTAAGAGAATGTATAGTCCTGAGGCTTATATACAAGGGCAACTACTGTACATTTTGTATATTTAATCATTATTTCCGCACAAAAATACACGTCTCCTGGTGGCTTAGCGGTAAGTTCACGGATTTAGAGCACTAAAATTTGGGGTTTGATCCCTGCTGTGGAAAATTGTGCAGCTTTGTGCTAAAAAGAAAAACGCAAGGCTTTACAGCGCTATCATAAACAACATGTTCATTTTTCACTCTGTATTAAACAAACGTATAATATTTGCAGGATAATAAGAAACCTTATTATATTCGTTATACTGTGATACAAATGATATGTATATATATATGTAATATATAACAGAAAAAAAAAGGTAGAGCTAAAATGCTACACCCTTCTGATTTGAAAGCCAAAATTAACAACTTACGATAAATGGGATAAAAAATATCTGTATTATCAATAATGTCAGGCCTATTTGTTTCCAATGCTTCACCAGCTTTCGGCGTTTAATAAATAAAATATTGTAAATTTCAAATAATACAAAATAAATAATGTTTATTAAACATGTTTATTCACTGATTATATAAAATATGTATGAAAGGAGGTTAAAATAAAACTTTGGTATAATTATTTATATAAATAGATACTTTAAGATGAAAGCGAATAATAAAAGTACCATTTGACATAGTCTTGCTATTATCGATAAATCATTTGCGAATTTAATTATACGCAAAAGTTCATTACTTTTGCGTAATCAAAAATAATTTATATTGTTTATAATTCAACTCTGAATTGATATAAATATTTAATATTGTTTATTTGTAATTAAGCACAAAGCTGCACGATGGGCTACCTGTGCTCTGCCCACCACGGGTATCGAAACCCGGATTCTAGCGTTGTAAGTCCGCAGACATACCGCTGTGCCACTGGGCGGGGCAAATATTTAATAAATATCAATGTTGTGTTATAAAGGATTCTGCATAATTATAACTTGAAAATGTCTTTTACATCTTTCTTTCACTTTTGCTTCGAAGATATAGGTTATTTCTCGAAATAATCTTGGCCTCTGATCAACCTTTACTACTAATGCTAGATCAATATTTTTTTATTAAAAAAAATGAAACAGACTTTCTATCAAAGAGAGGAAATAAATCACCGTTCTGGAGGAAAAGTTTCTCGCACACACACATACACAAATATACATAAAAGATGCAAAAACGAGGAAAATGTTTCCATACCAACAGTTCTTTGATAAAATTGGGTTCCTATACGGTCGATACAACTGTAGAAAAATGTCACCATAATGTGAACTAATTTGATCCAAGACATCCTCAGTTGGTAATATTTCCTAACTCGAACAGCAGTAATTGGGTTGAACGTGATTGTGAGCTAACACGTACTTTAAAGATCAAAATTTCAACACTAACGAATGTGAGAATCGTTCGAGATAAACAGATAAAAAACAGGTGGTCAAGATTAAACAAGCGTCTTTATTTAAAATGATAAGATATCTAAAAATATTGTACCAACTAAAAACATTTAACTACTTGTGAGCTGAACAGTTCGTCATTGTTGTTATTGTGTAACATTACTGCTGGATGTTTTTGAAAATATATATAGCAGAAAATACGTTAGGGTCTAATTTGATTTTTTTTTGGTAAAACATGCTAATCTTTCATCTTCAAATAACATTATACAATGCTTTTTGACAGCCATTTTTAATGTCATTGTGTGTAAAGTTTTTTATTTATGTCTTTCCTTGTATACCGTGAGGACATTGTACTACAGCGACATTTTTTTGTTATTAAGTATCACGGAAAATATCGATCGTTTACTAAACAACGTCAAAGAATTAAGAGCCACTAGGATAGATACTTCGATTCATGACTAGATTATAACTCTGGGGATTCGAACGAAACTGAAGTTCTCAAAAATATTCTCGAAACTTTAGATAAGACGAACTTTTAGCATTTTCCTATTGAGAATAAGTTACTGTTTAAAGAAAACATACAGAAAAACTTTACTATTAGTGTCGTTGTTTCTCTCACACAACAACTAAATATACAATAAATATTGATGGTAAATTAATCTGGGCTATTTGTTCTGATCAAATAACTACTTTCATTTAATTGTCTGTCTGTTAAACAACGGACAAAATTAAATTACTTATACCCCTCTCTTTAAACATTGCCATAAATATTTTTCCGGCTTAGCTTAGTTACTAATAACAACTGACTGTATGATTATCACGTGTTGACAATTAAAACTGCGTTGAAGGTTTCCATGAAATAAATTACACAAACAGACAAGAGCGGTTCTATATTTATGATGATTACCAACACAAAGCCTTGTAATAAACATAATTATTTACATTACATAGTCTTCTGTAACATTAAGTTCCTTTCCTCACTTCCATACAACAATAGAACATTAGTGTGAGTTATGATTCTTTTTCACATCACATATCGCCTGGAAATGTTTACACTTCACGTATCCTAGGTGTCGTTTTTTTAATATTTTAAGCAAAGACAAAAAAAGTAATGACATAAACGTCAGAGTATGTAACACTCGTAATTATGTAAGTTTTAAAATGCGCCAACGCGATGTAGTCTTGAAAAGCAAGATAGGTGTTTTCATGAATGGTACATAGCACCAACTTATATCTTCCTCGTTCATAAACTAAGCAGCTTAAATTATTGAGAAAAAATCACGAGTTCTACACTTTTTGAGTAAGTTTTGGAATACTAAACTTTAATCCCTAACTTACGCAACACAAACACATGTAAAATAATCTTTAATAAAATGATTTAATTATGTTTTTTTTATATTATCAGAGTGTATTAATTCTTTATTCAAGCCGCTAGTTGTACTTTGTTGTAAATATTTATTTAACGGTAAACATTTTTTTAATAACATGCTTAGCGCCTAACAACTTAAAATGCTACAACGTTCAAGTTTGTGGTACACATTATCAAACTACACTTTGTTAATATAAATGTATTTCTGTTGATAGTTTTTGAAGTTTTCTTTTGTTTGTTTATACGGTCATAATACTGCAACATTATTCAACGCAAGCTTTGCTTTACGCTATATTACGCCTTCCCATATTGTCGTTGAGGGATTTTAGTTTTGAAAAGTTCAACAATTACATTACACCAAGACTAATATATTGTAATTATGTTCACCACAATCACGTTAGATGGGATCTTATGAAAATAACGCAATGAAAAGTGTTTTAATGAAAAATGTTTCTTTTGACGTTTTTGCTTGTTCTTATTAAATGTGTTGAAAGTTAATCATGCGACTACAAACATGACTGCAATTATTAGTGCAAATCAATATTTTACGTTTCACTAAATTTTTCAGATATTTCTGAACATTTGTGTATGATATATTTTATGTTAGCATTGGATTATTTATTCCAGGGTAAACATTTATGAAATTCAATATGTTTAAATATGATTAAAAGGTATGAGCAAGACAAGTATGTTTGTTATATATTGGTTTCAACTAATGATATAGTTACCCTTTTGAGTGAGAGTTTCAGGCACTTTCAGGGTGCCAGGTCTGAGCATAACTGCCTCCCCTCTGCCTTTCCCGTTCACTGCATACAAAACTACGACAAAGTTGGAATCAGGGGGAAGACCTTTCGCGTGGAAAACCGGTGCTCTGGATGTAAGATTTGAGCGTATTACATTATGCGTAGTATCGTGGATTTCCATAATAAACAGTTGACTCATGCCTCCGTCGTAACCTTCCTCACATACGACACGAAAGGACGAGTCAGTCTGGTTGGTGACATTACAGTTACGTAAAGCTTCCGGAAAATCTGAAAGGTATTAAAAATAATCGTACCTTAATAACTGCAAGACAAACCTCTGTTTAAATGTCTTATTTATTTATCGTATTTCAACTCTTTATTGGGGGAAAAATTAACACGAACTCTAGCACCACGTTGGTTTTCAGCATGACAATCAGATTGAATGCTTAACAATTGTGTTTGTTTTAAATGTAATTAAACAAGTGAACGTCACGTTTAAAACAGCATAAAAAGTTTAGATATGGATAGCAGATGAAAAACAAAATTCAAAAGAAAACGAATTACTCGGAATATCGCAACTTATTCAAGAAAAAAACGTTTATTTCATCTTGCTCACGTTGTATTTTTTTTTCGGTTTATCATTATTTTTATATTTTTTCACATTTACTTTTATTTCATATTTGATTAGACATTTTCTTACACTTGTATATTTTGCTTTCTTACGATGACGTTTATTTCATTTAATTTCTTGATATGTGAAGGTTTTTGTATATTTTTATTTCCTTGTCATAGTTTCGACATGATATTTTCCATTTAGATATTCAACATAATAAAACCAGAATACGATCTAACAACTTTTAATAAAATATATTGTAGAGTAAGTTATTCCTGTTATACATATATAGTTTTTACTACCGTATCTTTACTTTTCGCAACCCAAAAATAGAATAAAATATTTTAGTTGGTTCCAGGGTTTATAAAAAATATCATCCAGTTTGCTATGACGCGAAAACGTAAATTTTGTGAATCTACTTTTGTAAAAAGACAAAGTAAATATTGATTTTAAGATTGGCCACTTTTCAAACTCGTTAAAGCGTTAATCTAAAAGACAAAAAACAAAAAAAAAAACGTCGTGTTAAAATGGAACGTGCTGACGATATCTTTTGGATTTGTAACCATTTTTGAAAAATATATTTGCTGTTAGGCTTAGGTACATAATCTCTGAAGGAATCTGATTTTTTTAAAAGAATTTAAGGATTAAAACCATGAAATTTACTTGACAAAATAAATCAGTCTAGAACTGAAAAACGAATTTATTTTTATTTAGTACTAGATATCTTATTGAGTACTGGATATCATGAGGCCTTACAGAATAAATATAACTAGTGTGTATATTTATCGAGCTTTCTTTACATATTTATCTCATTTTTGCTCTTACTGTTATTCGAGTCAAGCGTTATTTGTTTTATTGCATGGAAAAGTTCCTCTTGCAAGACATTGAGGATTATATGAGACATGAATGTACAATACATAATTGAGGAAAATTGTGCTTGGAATGTTCTCTTCAGAAAATCTGTGCTCCTGGTTAGTTGCTCTCCCGTCTACACGAAGGTAGATTGTTTGTTTGTTTTGTTTGTTTTTAATTATGCACAAAGCTACACAAGAGCTATCTGTGCTCTGCCCACCACGGGTATCGAAACCCGGATTCTAGCGTTGTAAGTCCGCAGACATACCGCTGTACCACTGGGGGGCACGAAGGTAGATTTCAGAATATAAAATGAATTATTTCTGTGTGTCCTTCACTTTATTTGGAGTTTTATAATTTAATTTGTAAAAAGCAATTTAGCCAGTACGTCCCATTTAGAAATAGAGTTTTAGTTACATGTGCTTAAAATGATTTATAAGTTGAACCACTTTGGGTTGAAGCGTTTGTAAGTTGAAATATCAAGTTTCCAGTGTTTAGGAACATTTGTATGAAATTTATTCTACTGGAAATACAGCACGAAGAGTATATAACAACTATAAGTTCAACCACACTAAACAATTAGTGTTAATATGTAAGAAAGTAATTCTGTTAAAATTTCTAACTTGATGGATGCACAGAATTGAAGCTTCTAAAAACTTTGTTATATGCCTTAAAATATAATATGTAAAGCGCCTGATATTACTTAGATGCAACAGAAAATTTTATTACAAATTAAAACATTAGGACAAAATTAGAAAATGTTCATTTAAGATGCAACGCTTTAAAGTTCCTAAGCAAATATCTCTCAACGGAGTTTTCTGTGTTTGTTGTTAAACGCAAAGTTACGTAATGGGCTAATTGTGCTGTGCTAACTATGGGTATCGAAACCAGTTTTTAGCATTATAACGTTATAAGCTCCAGACTTACCGCTGAGCCACTTGGGGGGGGGGGGCTCTCAACGGAGCTGAATGTAAACTATGACCTTCCTTATATACTGTCACTAAAAAGTGTCGTTGTGATGGTTCTTCAAATGGGTTACGCAAATGCTTGTAAACGTGGATCACAACAGATCCAGGCTTTTGGTAGATTTTATATTACGTAGTATTTTCTAAGTATTCTGTAAGTAATGATCTCGTTGTAATTTTTCGTGGAAACCTGAAATTTATTATTTGACAACATTCTCTCTCTCTCTCAGCGTGTGAGGATGTATATGTATACATGTATGTGTCATCCTCTGTGTATATATATATATATATACATATGTTTGTTATCCTCTGTGTGTGTGTATATATATATATATGTATACATGTGTGTGTCATCCTCTGTATATATATATATATATGTATACATGTGTGTGTCATCCTCTGT